ATCTTTCTTTACCTGTGTCGCGCCTGCCGTGGCAGCTTGGCTGCACGTTGAAGTGTTCTCAGACTAAAAAAATACACATCATAATCATGAACAGGACACCTATTGCCATTGCTGCGCATGGCTGGCAGCCTCAAAATGAGCTTACCACATCTGTGGCCAGGGCAAGGAGACTGCCAGTCTCTGTGAGACCTGGGGGCTGGAGAAAAACAGGTTATGGCATTTTCTGCTACCCTCTCGTCTGCATGCAGCGATCAATAGTCATGAGAGTAAACACGAAATCTTTCTTTACCTGTGTCGCGCCTGCCGTGGCAGCTTGGCTGCACGTTGAAGTGTTCTCAGACTAAGAAAATACACATCGTAATCATTAACACGACACCTATTGCCATTGCTGCGCATGGCTGGCAGCCTCAAAATGAGCTTACCACATCTGTGGCCAGGGCAAGGAGACTGCCAGTCTCTATCTGACCTGGGGGCTGGAGAAAAACAGGTTGTGGCATTTTCTGCTACGCTCTCGACTGCATGCTGCGATCAATAGTCATGAGAGTAAACACGAAATCTTTCTTTACCTGTGTCGCGCCTGCCGTGGCAGCTTGGCTGCACGTTGAAGTGTCCTCAGACTAAGAAAATACACATCGTAATCATTAACACCACACCTATTGCCATTGCTGCGCATGGCTGGCAGCCTCAAAATGAGCTTACCACATCTGTGGCCAGGGCAAGGAGACTGCCAGTCTCTATCTGACCTGGGGGCTGGAGAAAAACAGGTTGTGGCATTTTCTGCTACGCTCTCGACTGCATACAGCGATCAATAGTCATGAGAGTAAACACGAAATCTTTCTTTACCTGTGTCGCGCCTGCCGTGGCAGCTTGGCTGCACGTTGAAGTGTCCTCAGACTAAAAGAATACACATCGTAATCATTAACACGACACCTATTGCCATTGCTGCGCATGGCTGGCAGCCTCAAAATGAGCTTACCACATCTGTGGCCAGGGCAAGGAGACTGCCAGTCTCTGTCAGACCTGGGGGCTGGACAAAAACAGGTTATGGCATTTTCTGTTGCGCTCTCGACTGCATACAGCGATCAATAGTCATGAGAGTAAACACGAAATCTTTGTTTATCTCTGTCGCGCCTGCTGTGACAGCGTGGCTGCACGTTGAAGTGTCGTCAGACTAAAAAAATACATATCGTAATCATTAACACGACACCTCTTGCCATTGCTGCGCATGGCTGGCAGCCTCAAATAGAGGTTACGACGTCTGTGGCCAGGGCAGGGAGACTGCCAGTCTCTGTGAGACCTGGGGGCTGGAGAAAAACAGGTTATGGCATTTTCTGCTACACTCTCGACTGCATGCAGCGATCAATAGTCATGAGGGAAAACACGAAATCTTTCTTTACCTGTGTCGCGCCTGCCGTGGCAGCGTGGCTGCACGTTGAAGTGTTCTCAAACTAAAAAGTACACATCGTAATCTTTAACACGATACCTCTTGCCATTGCTGTGCTTGGCTGGCAGCCTCAAAATGAGCTTACCAGATTTGTGGCCAGGGCAGGGAGGCTGCCAGTCTCTGTCAGATCTGGGGGCTGGAGAAAAACACGTTGTGGCATTTTCTGCTACGCTCTCGACTGCATGCAGCGATCAATAGTCATACAAGTAAACACGAAATCTTCCTTTACCTGTGTCGCGCCTGCCTTAGCAGCTTGGCCGCTACTCGAAGTGTCAGACTAAAAAATACACGTTGTAATTATTAACACGATACCTCTTGCCAACGCTGCGCATGGCTGGCAGCCTCTTTATTAGCTTTGTACAGTAAAAGGGTAAAAGAGCTAAAAACACCGGACCAGTGAAAGAGAGGCCAACATAGTGCACTTAGCACATCTGTGGCGTCGGCAGGACGACTTGTTGTACCATAGCATTAATACAGCAACTGCAACATGTCATAGATAGAGGCCAACAACAAGGATTTTGTCAGTGTTCGAGAAGATATCTGGTTGCATGACGAGGGTGTCTGTAAGCTGGACCAACGCAATTATTGGTCCATCATTGCATTTGAATGAAACAATGCAATAAATAGGCAGGAGGTGCTGATATGAGCAATTAAAATGAGTTGAACTGCCATGTTGACGGGTAGATATTGGGATGTTAATAAGATTTTTTAAATGGTGTGCTATTGGCCTATAATCTCCATTAGCAGGACGGATGTAAGGTGCTTTTTCAAGCGTTCACCTGTGTATTGTTGTGATGGGTACCATCGGGGGCTTTCTTTTTCTGTAACATAAATATACAAGGTGTTACGATCGGTATTAAGTTTTTATATCAGAGTTACCTTTTTTTCTGAAGGTGGATGCCCTTTTCTGACGGCACAGACGTCGCCGTCCAAAAACCACCTGTAGAAAAATATTTGTTAACGCTGCAGTGCAATGAAATGCTATAAGTGAATACGCGCCGACGCCCGCTTTGCCCGGCGTGCCCTGTAATAGCCGGCAAAAACGCCGAGCATGATGCGCCAAGGAGGCGTAGCACGGTATGGCTCATCGCGGGTGATGATCTTTCGACATGGATCTTGAACCATAGAGGCGAGCGCGAGCTTGAAAATAAAAACGTAGTCTAGAGTGCCGTCTGACAGCCCTCGTTCAGAGGGTTCAAATGACGGCAGTCAAGTCAACCAGAGCATTGAGAAACATAAAATCAAAGGAAGTGTTTCTGGACCATCTTACCCAAAATGACGGTACCCCACTCGCGCCTTCAAAAGCCGCCCGAAAAGCAGGTTTTACGAAGCTGCAGCATAGCTCAGAGGAAAGGTGTCCGCATCATGCGCAGAGGGCTGAGTTCCTTTTTTTTTTTTTACATATTTAAAAGGTCGTCGCAATTTGGTTGAGTCTATTGGTACTTTTTCCCGGTTGCCGGCTGGGCGCCGCGTGTGCGACACGGCGAAGTTGATTAATAATTTGTAATTAGCAGCCGCAGACTGTCGCTGCGAAGCGGCGTGAAAGCAGCCGAGGGGGAGGACGCGCCGTCCGATTTTCTTTCGGACGGCCTTTGGCGCGAGTGGGCGAGTGGAATGTCGTCGGACGGCACTCTAGACACAGCCAATACGAAAAGGCAAATGAAAAGGAGATTCGTGCTCCGTGTCATTCTGATGACTTTAAGATAGAATGCTGCTGGACAAACATGAAGTACCTAGCAGCAAAGGTTCACACAAAACGCACGAACCTTTCGATTGTATCCGAGGGCGAGCATGGGCGACGGGTTCTCGGTCGTCCGCATGCCATCTACGAAATGACGAGAGCACACACGAGAAGACTCGGACGGTGAAAACCCCTTTCGGTTAACGGCAGTTGACCACTGCCGACGCAAATCACCGTCCGCAGGAAATCAGTGGGGTAAAACATGTTGCAGCCACGTTTTCTCTGCGGAATGTTGTGCTTCACCCACACGCTGTCAGCAGCGAGTTTTCGTTTACGCTGGTTGTTGTTGCAGTCATAGATGACGCAATGCTGCCCAGAAGAACCCGGGTGAGAATACGCTATAAAAAGTTACAACCAAGAGCTCCCAAAAGGTCAAAAAACAATATCCAATATAGCGGGCCACACGTACAGGTACCCAGCATCACACTCCGTTGATTTAGGGTTAGTTTGGATGCCAAGGGGAATCCCGGAAAACCTACTCTCGAAACCAATGACGCTTTTCACAAATTATTTTTTTTCCCTGGGATCGAGATTTTCTTGGAATTGTGCATAGAGCCAAAAACTTTGTAGTTAATTCTTAATTTAACCTAGAAGAGTTTGAGAAAAATATATCCCTTTATGTTCCTTTACTCTATATTTTAACTTATTGGCTAGTTGTACAACCTCTATACTGTTGTTTCATTTGAACGCTTACGGTTCAGCTTACTTTATGATTGTATAACCTCTCGAGTTAACCACCGATTTTGTAGTTTTAACTTTTGTTGGCGCAGAGTTGTCCTCACACTATGATTTTGTGATCAAATTGCTACACAAGCCATTGAATTTATTACATTTGGCGAAGGGGTCTCTTGAAACATTTTTAGATAAAGAGTTACAGATTCAACCTCGCTGCGGAAAAAATACTTAAAAACAACATTGTGCACAACACGTTTACTTTCGTTGTCGGGAACTAAACAAGAAAGAAACTCGAATTTATATTCCGAGATACCTTGCATCATATTGTATTGAAGAACATCGAAATCAAGGAATATAAGGTCACGTCTGAAGCCACCATTTTCGACCCCTAGTTGTCTCAGTCATGACCTGTTCAAGGCCGGCACTGAATGCTGCACTTAGGATTTCTGTTGAATGAAAAATAGGGATTCCCGTTGTCTCCCCACACGTCTATATTTGAAAAGTTAAAGTGAGTTGCAATAATAAATAGGGAGTTTTAGAATAGCGCACTCTAAAGCTTTGCGCACGCAAAGAATAGCGTCGTCGCCACTGCGCATGCTCCGAACGCAAACCAGGTTTTGCGCTTTGCGTGCGCAATTTTAGCGCTCGCTATTTCTCGGAAGGAGCGCGCGCTATTTCCGACGACGCAAAGGGTCTTTGCGTCGTTCTCGTGCTGCGCGATAAGTTGCGAGAGGGCTAAAGCCAAGACCACAGGCCAAGACGATCCGTCTTCTAATCCGGCGGGAATAGGAAAATGGCGGCTCTGAAGGCAGCAGCAGCGGCAGGAGCCTCCTCGCGATTGCGCTTTTCTGCGCAAGATGACATTTCGCTGTTACAAGAAGTTCACGCCCTCAACCCGTTTGAGGACCCATCGCGATGGGCCCAAATCGCAAGCAACCTTCTTTCAGCCACCGGCAAAGGTTTTAGCACGCGAGCGGTACGTGACCGCCTCGACCTGCTGCTCGCACAGTTTGCTGCAAAGGATCGCGCCAACTTAAGAAGGTGAGTGTGCTGCTTCATTTACTGCTAAGGATTATTTAAAGCAATGCGGCGTTAAAGTGTGTGCTTTGATCTGAGCAGCAGGTCGAGCTCAGCTGCTACTCTGTCGCAGGTCAGGCACCGAGGAGCAATATAGCGAAAAGGAACACCTCCTCCAGGAGATCGCCGATCTGACAAGAGAATTTCACTACAAGTACAAGGCGGCGGCCGTCCGGAGAGCGGCCCCGTCACGCCCGAAGCTCACAGCCACCGAACGAAGCGACGCGTCTGCGTTACGGGACACCGCCGCCGCAACCAACTTAGCATATTCCATGGTACGTCAGCTTTTTCTTTATTTTTTTCTTTTTATTTATTAATGCTGGGCTCGTTCGATTTACCTGCACCAGCCCACACCGGTGCAGAAAAGGTTCGATGCAGAAAAGTGCAAGGCAGTGTTCCCAGCTTGTATTTTAAGACAGGGTGCACTCTTAACCCTCTGCCTACCGCAAAATTTTTGAAAAAGAAAAACGATTTGAAAATACTGAATTTCTTTATGTGCCTTATAAATTTAGTATGCAATACACAGGCCAAAAACAAATGCCAAAATATTTATTCTATGAGAAAACTTTGAACAGACTGCAAAAGAAAAGGGGATTAAAGTTCGGCTTCACTGCATTACCGCAGACAGTTCACGTCACCTTGCACATGGACGTCCAGGCCGGGCGTAGCAGTACTGCAGACAGTTCACATCAGCTTGCACGCGAAGTGAACGCAAAACGTGGAGGAACTGGAGGAGGATTTTCTACATTGATTCTAGTCCAATGCCGATACCCCGACATGGTGTCCTCATTGAAATCGGAGTCGCCTGAGCTAAAATCCAATAACTCAGCTGCATCACTCTCGCTGTTCAATGAAAGATTCATTTCCTCGTCTTCTGAATTTGAAGAGACGTTACAATATCTTCGTTTTCGCCCCAGTTTTGAGGCAAGATTGTCACTACGAACGCAGCGACCAGAAGTTGACGCCGCCATTTTTTAAATCCCCTGTTGTCTGCGTTGGAACAATTTTGTGCCAAATTCAGGAATTTACCAGGTTTTTGTTTTCCGTGAAGCGCCATCTGTCCACAGCAAAGATCACTAGAAACACGTGGACTAGCCCAGTTCGTCCATGGTAGCGTATTGGCGCCCGAATCAATGTGGACGAGCCCAGCTCGTCTTCGTGAGGAGCGGTACAAACAGTGTGGACGGACCCAGGTCGTCCATGGTAGGGAAAGGGTTAACTAGCATCTATGTGTTCACCGAGTGAAGCTGGTGCAGGAGATGTAGGTGAATCAAACAAGCCTACTGTTAATTTCTTTCAAGATGGTTACAGAAGAAGAATGTAAACCAAGTATCAAACATGTCGCACTTGCTGCAAAAACTTAAACAAAAGGTTTAAAAGAAAAAAAGAATTTAGCATCATTTACAACATCTGGAGGACTTTCGCAGAATGGCAGCGCAACTGCGGACGCATGCCGTGCCTCCACTTCCACTGATGCTGCTGCTGCAGCGTACGTGGCAACCTCTTCGGTCGTCGAGGTACCGGAAAGTGCTGGCAACATATGTAAGTGGGATGAGGGCGTCTTAATGCATATCTGTTTGTCTTAAAGGGCAACTCCGGTCGAAAACCACACCAAAATAAATGACGGGTATCGCTTTAGTAACTTCAAATATATTACAGCCGAAATTTTACGTCAAAGTGAAAATGCATATTCCACTAGGACCGATTTTAGTGATGTGACCAGTTGCTCTTTAGCAGGGGGCGAGCGGGTTAGCTTTTAGCCAAGGAACACTGGCACAGCACCCTTGTGACATTGGATCGCGGTGGAGCTGCGGTTGATTGGTTGTACCTCTCACCGCAGCGCCGTTGACGTCACGTCGCGACCGTAGGCTGATGATCAGCGTTGCCATCCCTCTGGCGGATAGTTTTGGTTTTTCCGTAGACGCCCGAAACCAAACTTTGAGCCGTGATATTTATAAAACTACACACAATATCGAGAAAACAAATTTATACCTTGGAATTCGGAGACACTGCTTTAGGTAAAAACAGTTGTAATTCCAAATAAAAAAAAAAAATATTGATTGAAGTTGCCCTTTAAGCATGTTTCACATGGTGCAATTAGCGGCTCCAGCGAACTATAGGGGGCGCGGTGGTCGAGCGAAAGGAGGTAGCTTTCGTTCTTCAGCACGTGGACCATCATAAATTTTTTGCACTGCAGCATAAAATCGGTGTTACATCTGAAAGCAAAGCGATTATCGACAGTAGAAACTTTCGTCTGCTCAGTGCGTAAAAATGACACGGTGGAAGCATAAATATGATTACTGGAAACGATTAATGTTCCTAGGCTGCCTGCGAGAACAAGCAGCGATAGCAAACGACAGAGTCGAAGTGACCTCCTCTCTTGCGCTTCTCAGCGTGGCCGCTATGCAGCGTTGATTTCGCTGGAGTCACCAATTCTGCGGCCAAAATCACTGCCGCTAGCGATCACAGCACCGCTAATGTGGAAGAGCTTTTAAGCTCGAGCTGTTAGCTTTAATGCATGGTACAGCTGCATTTTATGCTATCCATTTTTTTGTATTTTGCCGATTGAAGGCCCATAGGTTTTCGGCTTTAGTTTATCATAGGGCGAGACAAAACATATGCCTACGCTTTTCATTATCATAGATGCTGTGGCCAGCCCTGCATACTTGAACCACCAATGGAAGCACCAATGGGAAACATAATATTTAAGAGTTAATTTCTTCAGAGGTGCTGTTTTTGATATTTTTTTCAGGGACCACTTGTGTTGTGGATACGGCAGAGCTCCTCTCGGCGGCAGATGCAGGCGACACATATGAAATTGTTGGTCTTGACGTGAGCAGAGAGTTACCTGCACTGCCACGGGCACCCCTTCGATCGATGTTGGAGGCCATGCACCTGCAGCTTCACCCGAGCAGACCGTGGAACCTGAAGCTAGCCGTCAGGTGCAGAGGGGTAAGCTCCAGGCTTCCCAAGCAGCTGAAATGTTCTATAAACCTCCTCAGAACATCCCTTGTGATTAGGTGAAGGGCTTGAGGTAAGGGGAGGTGCATGAACCAACACAAAGAGAGAAACATAAGCACTACCATTTGCAGTCGCCACGAACTGAAACCCACAGTGCCTGACATCGTTCGGAAAAAAACATTCTTGCTCTGTATGTTTGTATATTGATATACCTTTTTTACAGTTTTTACCAAAGTACCTCAGGGGTATCATGTTACATAGAAGACAAGTCTATCTTAATATCTGCATCTAAGAAGAGAAGTTGAATATTAGTTGTGAACACTTAATGTAATTCACATGCAGTAAAAGAAAATCTACTACGGTAATTCATTTCACAATCTGGGCACCTTGATCTCACCTCTGTTCTTCAACGCCTAGGTTGCCTGACATTCCTGTTGCCTTTGTGCTTCCTACGATCACTCTGTGCTCGTTCATGTGCTTTGTATTGGTGCGTTCCAGACTATTTCATGACTCTATCATGTTTCCTGTGCCTGCGTATGTCGCTGTGGGGCTTCTTTTCTTGTAGGAAGCTAAGGAGGCTGCAGCAGAGTAAATGAAGTTGCTGAATATATTCATGTCAATTTGCAACTTCATGATATCCTTGCCCTATGTTATTCTTTCGGATCAGATATGCAGCTGGGCAAAGTGACCACAGTGTAGACCTCCAGGAAAAGTTTGTGCACATTTCTGGAGAAACATTTGTCTAACATGTATTTCATATGTTTTTCTTACAGGAAAAAAAAGAGAAAATGAGAATCTAATATTCTTTGAAAAAAGAATACAGTTTGAACAGGGCACCCGAGAGAGGGAGAACAAGCTGGAGGAGCGGCGGATTTCACTTGAAGTGAAGCGCCTCATCCTCGAGGAGAAGCGCCTGGCCCTCGACAGAGACAAGCTCCAGCAACAAGTTCGTGAGTGGGAGGAGGAAAAAGAGGAGAGAGCTCAAGAAAGGGCAGAAAGAGAAAGGGATCGTGCACAGGAAAGACACTTTTTTCTCACACAGCAGCAAGCCATGCTGGAGCTCGTGCAATCAATGATTGCTAATAAGTTCAAATAGACAGCAGGCTTTGAGTTTTCACTTTTATTTGTTTAATTACCATAACATAAATATTTTTATATTCTTCCACACATCTTGCAAGTACAAATGTAGAAATGGAAGCTCCAATAAAGATTACTATAGCCAAAGAAAACTTGTTCAAAAGAAAATAACAGCGTCTTTTAACTCGGCAATCAGAAAATGACTAGAAAGGCCACTTTATGGTATAAATAAACAGTGTCACCAAAATTATGTAGAACATGCGAACTGTATAATCTCATGGGTACAATATCTTGACAGCAGCTAAAGAAGTTCTGCATGAAATAGCACTTAATGTGCAACACTTAAAAAATACTAGAAAGACCACGTTTAGGAAAATTTACAGGACCCACCAAGCCTATACGAGACATGCAAACTGTGTCTTATCTTATAAGAATGCTAACTGCCAAGGTTTCATGGAGGCAAAGCACCAGCCTACGGATACCCAGTTGGTTTGAATGTTTGTAGAGCTGCCCGCAGTTTGACGGAGGCTTATTGCAAAGAAGGTGCCATGATATTGAACTTTCTCTTGTACGTCGGAACATCTCCAGATGGATGAAATTAATCCTCAGTCCTGCACTGGGCCACGCCAGATACACTTTGTCGGTTTGGCACGTAGAATCCCCAAAAAGTAGTGCTCAGTATAATGGCCCAACCAGGGGAGGTTGCTCGCTCAAAGTCGAAGTGGTGGCTGGGCCGGGGACAACATGGCAATTCTGCTTGATGCAGGTGGCGGCCAAAGGTGACTGCTGAAATCGTCAGTTATTGAAGGGCTCATTCAGTAAAAACATGAAACGCCCACTGATTGAGTCATCTAATCACCGACGGTTTAGGCAGTCACCTAAGCACCTTAATACGAAAGGGTGGTGATAAGTGTAGATTGCCAGCAAAACTGTTGTTTTCCTTGGCCTAGCTACAATTTCGGCCTTGAGCAAGCGTACCTTCCCTGCTCAAGCTGTTCTATTGAGCGCTATGTAATGGAGCACTGATCTTACGAGATAAGACACAGTTTGAGTGTTTCATATAAGTTTGCTGAGCACTGTACCAAGAGTATCTTAAAGGTTCTGTCTGTCCCGTACAGAGGGTTTCAAGTATTGCCCCAAGTTGGGTGCATGGAGGCCAAAGAACATACCAGTCTGGCTACCGTACAGGCATGTATGACAGTTAGTAAAAATTGCCCCCACCCGATACATTCTCCCCACATCCTGCAAGTACAGCTTCTGGTTTTTCTTGAAGTCCAGGAATGCGAACTCGGATACTATTTTACCGAACCCCCACTCAACAGCTTGTCGCACAGTACTCATGCCACTGTTGAAGAGCACTTGCTGTTGAGTGAGGGTGGCACCTCCGTACGCCCTCATCAGAAGCCGCCGTAATGGGTACGCTGGGTCGCCGTAGATGGTGTAAGAGCGGCCCTGCACAAGCTTTTCCAACTTTCCGTAGAGGCCACTTTCGCGCAAAATGCCTGCATAAAACAGAGAAACAAGAAGGCACTGTACTTTTTACCACTTTTAAAAACAGAAGTTGCATGGTATTGATTGGCCAGTGTGCTCATTTGGCATGCTCCGTTTTGCAATGCAGTGTGAATGCTGCATTACAATACTTTGTCCTCTGTAGAACAGCACACTCTTTCAGAGCTAAGTAAATATTTTTGCAGCGAACCTCGAAGAAAGCAAGGGCTGCATAAATTGGAAGAGATATAGTTAAATCGGAACATGCCACTGCATCTTAACCAAAAATGAAGCACAAAACAGCATTTCAAGGCTTGTTATTTAAGCTCAGCGACTGGACTAGCTCATTTGAAAGAATCGCATTAATAATTGTATTGAACACATGATTTCCTTCGTGATTTGTATTTGGTTCGGTGCTACCTCTATAGCAAAACTGCTTATTCAGTGTTGCTACAGAGTTGAAATGCTGATTAATGGGAAGTGTTAATATCAAACGTGGAAGCATGCAGGTCCAGAACAGCTGCACCCACCAGCGTCATGCCTGTGTCCCGGATAGGGACCATCAAGTTGGCAAATGATGCCGTTTGCACACATTATTGACTGGTACTTCAATGCGTGCAGCCTCTTGTGTCCAGAAAAGTAGATCCGCTGGTTGGTGGAAGGGCGGCAGATGGGCCTCGCCGTCCCATCCACGAAACCCCAGCAGTTTGGGAGGGGTGCACCTCGGGCATGAACGGCCTGCAATAATGGTACATTCTTAGCGAGACCTTCATGGTATCTAAAACATGATTTGCTTTGATCAAGTGTCTTGTTTTTATATTTAATTTTATTCTCCAACTGCTTGGTGTCAGTATTCCTTATTTGTAGCATTGATGAGTTTAAATGCAGCTTTTTATTTTTTTTATTTTAACATCTTGCCAGCTATGAGGCCAAAGCAGGTTGGTAGGCACACTTAACTATTAAAAATGTTATCAAGAAAAGCATGCACAGTTTCACTATTTAGAGCTTCTGTGGATAGGCAGTTCTATTCTTCAATACATTTAACAGAAAGGATTTTAAAAGAGTCCATATTGAAGCGATAAGGCTCATTAAATTTGTTATGTTTTGTTCTAGTTGTGTTACCGAAGTTTGCATATGTAGCATATTTATTAATATCAATTGAATAACGACCATATACCAAGACCTCATCAGTGTACTTTCTCCCATGCACAGGAAGTGTTGTTTTTTGTAGTATACAAATGTGTCATGAAATAATATCAATTACTAAACAAACATCCCTCTTTAAGCTGTATGTTTTTTCTAAATTAGTTCTGTTTAGCAGTTCTGGGTAACATATTTGACCTCCTTAATTGGAAATGACAACAGTAGGCACAAATTTCTTTGGGGGAGGGGGAGGGAGAAGAGGTCTGAGGCTGGGAGGAAGAGAGGGAAGGGGGGGGGCTAGGATTGCTATGACCTGTGGTGTAAAGAGGGGAGGGGAGTCAAAATGCATGTGTATATTATATGGTTGACTAGATATTGGGGAGGAGGGAGGGGGGCTTAAAGCTAATGACTAGCCCAAGCAGCACGTTGTGAATGGGCCATCGCTGGCAAGTGTACTGGCCAACCAGATTTTCGATGGCCCAAGCTTGGCCAAAGTGCTCGGCAATAGCAGTGTTTTCGTCCTCGTCTGGTGACTTGCCATTCACTTTATGCCAGTCGCTGGCCATTCACTTTAGGCCAGTGACTGGCCATTCACTTTAGGCCAGTGACTGGCCATTCAATTTAGGCCAGTGACTGGCCATTCACCTTTGTCCAGTGGCTGGCCATTCACTTTAGGCCAGAGAATGGCCATTCAGCTTTGGCCAGTCACTTTCGGCCAGCCACTGGCCATTCACGTTTGGCCAGCCACTAGCCATTGACTTCCGGCCAGTCACTGGACGAAAGTGGCTGTAGTTATACACTTAATACATAATTTATCACAGACTGCCAGAAAATTTGGGTGTTCCTCAGAAGACTGTCAAGAGTATCGGGAGGTCAAGTTTGAGAACTCAACCCCAGAAACTTTTACATAGTAATGACACGCGAAGCTGCTGCAAGTCTGCTCAATATTTATTGGACCTTTTTGAGTACTAAGTCTTACGACGCTGGTTGCGACCACCATTCCAGTCGTCGTGGGTTCAGGGATGGCATGTTGTCCCACCATTAAGATCCCCCGGTAGTGCAGCAGTAAAAAAAAATAAAAGAAAGAAGTAACTTTAGGTGAAGGGACAGTGCAACAATAGAGAGTTTTAGTAGATCGTTCCGATACCTCCGATAGCCCCGATAACGATACTACGC